CCACACAACAACCAGCGCCTCTGGTTCTAAAGACCAGAGCCTCTGGTCCACAACTCTTTACAACCAGAGCCCCTTTGGTTAAACTAAGAGTTCTTTTTACATTTTTCAAAGATCAAGTGTTATGCTCCAAAAACAACCAGAGCCTCTAGTCCTTAAGACTAGAGCCTCTGGATACTAAGTCCTTAGGACCAGAGCCCTCTAGTTTAATGGGACTTAGTTCTTGCACACAACTCTTATCATAACACCCTCCTTCACAACCAAAGCCTTTGGCTTCATAAAAAGACTATATTCTTGATTCAAGGGGGAGCTTTACTACTCAAACCCACCCACATCATGGTTTAAGGGGGGAACAAATATATTTTACTTGATTTTAAAATTTGTCAAAGTACAACCAGAGCCCCTCTGTTCAACTACAAGGGACCTAAGTAATCCCAAAATAACATTAAGGCCAACCAGAGCCTCTGGTTCTAAATACCAGAGCCTCTGGTCCACAATTCTTTGCAACCAGAGCCCCTCTAGTTGAACTAAGAGTTTACAAAATACTACCAAGTGTGCTCACAAAGTAACCATAGCCTATAGTTCTAAAGACCAGAGCTTTTGGTCCACAACTCTTTGCAACTAGAGCCCTTTTGGTTGAACTAAGAGTTCACAAAATACTACCAAGTGTGTTCACAAAGTAACCAGAGCCTCTGGTCCACAACTCTTTATAACCAGAGCCTTTCTGGTTGAACTTAGAGTTCTTCTTAAGACTTTCTAAGACCACGTGGACCCATACAGCATCCAGATTCTCTGGTCCATAACTCTTTGCAACCAGAGCCACTCCGGTTAGATTTTTTAAAGACCAAGTGTTATGCTCCAAATACAACCAGAGCCTATGGTCCTTAAGATCAGAGCCTCTGGACACTAAGTCCTAAGGACCAGAGCCCCTCTGGTTTAATGGAACTTAGTTATGGCACACAACTCTTATCCATAACACCCTCCTTCACAACCAGAGCCTCTGGTTGTATACACCTAAGCCTCAGGCTTCATAAAAAGACCATATTATTGATTGATGGGGGAGCTTTACTACTCAAACCCACCCAAAGCATGGTTTAAGGAGAAGCAAATACATTTTACTTGGTCTTAAAATTGATCAAAGTACAACCAGAGCCCCTCTGATTCAACTACAAGGGACCTAAGTAATCCTAAAATAGCGTTAAAGCCAATCAGAGCCTCTGGGACAAGCAATACTTATATTTTGATGATTTTGGGATTCAAGTTCAATCAGAGCCCCTCTAGTTGAACTTCAAGACCAACTAGAGCCCCTCTGGTTCTTCTACCATGGGTTTGGAAATTTTTCTAAGGGTTCCAATGAACATCCAGAGCCTCTGGTTCAATAAAAACGCAATATTTTTCAGACCGTCAACCTCATGACCAACCAGAGCCCCTGTGGTTCCTCATCACGACCAACCAGAGCCCCAATGGTTCAATTTGAATTTGATAAGAAGGGAGCCAAATACTTCCACTTTCTATAATTTTTGTCAATTGTCACTCTTTAGGTCTTATTGCAACTTATCTGGTATATGTAGAACATATTAAATTTTAACTTTCTTTCTCAGAATTGAGTTTTTTCAATTAAAATTGTTGGTATTTTCATGGGTCCTCTTGTCCTATCATTCGTTGTTGCTTTTAATCTTTCATTTATTGAATTTTTTTTGGTGATTGCATGTAGATTGTTTGTTGCTGATTGTCAAATATTACTGCTGAATATCTTGTTCATCTACAAAAACATTGGCCACATTAACCACGTTTGTCGGAACACAATAAATAAAAGTTAATTGTTTAGGGCCAAACAACTATAACTTCATAAAAGTTAATTGTTGCAACTCAGGGAAACAAAACAATACCCATTCAGGCAATTCAACGAACACCTACAAGACAACTATAACTTCATATAATTTCAGGCAATCGAATATTAACCCACTGAAGAATGTCAACAAACATGAAGCTATTACATTCAATAGCCTAGTATATTAACTTACTTGTAATTATAGCTTCTACTTGTGACTAGACTTGATTTTTATTTCCTTTTAATGCTCCACAAAATCGTGCCTTCTTATGCTTGTATTATGATTTAAGATGAGAGAAATACGTAAAGTTTGTAGCATACGATGTGATATCCATTGAAATATATCTCCTGCAATGCAACTGCTCTATGTCTTCCTGAAATTTCTGATCAACACAATTGATCAATTTGAACGTGGTACCTCTTCCAAAGTTTCCAGTATCCTTATTCACTGTTTGTAATGTTTCACAAATAACCTAGTATTTACTTCTTTATACAAATGACATGATTAGCCCTATGGGTGAGCAGCGGAACCGGGTAACCACTTGCGGAACCGAAACTGCCTTGGAACTGCTGGTTCCGGAACCGGAACTGATATGAGTGGTTCCGGTTCCTAAAATACGGAACCGATTGAGAATGATTCCAGTTCTCAATCTTTAGAAACCGTTACCCGCTGGGACTAACTAGTTCCTTTACTGAGGTAAGTCATAAGTTACGAATTTGTGCAGTTTTTTTTATATATTTTGTGTAGTTTTTTGTAAAAAAATATGTGCAGTTTTTTATATAATTTGTGCAGTTTTTTTTATGTAATTTGTGTAGTTTTATGTTAAAAATATGTGTAGTTTTTTATATAATTTGTGCAGTTTTTAATACAAATTTGTGCAGTTTTTTTAATATATAATTTGTGTAGTTTTTAGTTAAAAATAGGTGCAGTTTCTTACGAGTTTGTGTAGTTTTTTTAACACTCAATTATTCACAGGTACCGTACGAGGTTGAGGATGTGATGGGTATGCAAGAAGTTGAAACAAGATTCAGAATATGAGATAAAATGATTCGTAGGATTTGTAGTATGTAATCGTTAAACTTTGAATATTTACAATTATAGTATGTAATCATTAAACTTTCAACATTTACTATTAGTCTATTATGGTTTGTAATCGTTAAACAATATTTGTAACCATTAGTCCATATAATTTGTATTATTGTTTATTTATTTAGTGTTTTGACAATGTTTTATTTTTTATTTCTAAATCACAAAATTTTAATATTTTAAGAAGCGGGTAACCGGTTCCAAAAATTCAAGAACCGCTCTAACCGGTTCCGATTCCTATCAAATAGGGTAGGTACCCGCCTATGCTCACCCCAAATTAGCCCAACTCACACACTAAACAATATATGTAAGTAATATATACACACACAGCTGTTTATTAAATAACAATACAATCAATATCGTCCTTTTGAAATTTGATCTTTAGCGAACTTGAGATGAGCAATAAAAATTCCACCGATCCAGATGCAAGTTTTTCTTTGCAATCAACAACACATATAACCATATTACAACTTCCAAATCATAAATCAAAATGCAGAAAATGAAAAAAAAAACCTGAGCATTAGAAGAAACTAACGTAGTAACAAACATTGGACAAGATACATCAACCAATCAATCATTATGATTAGGGTTTTGATATTTGGTTCTCTAGAAGGAGTTAACTGAAACTAAGCGTAGTCTATACACGACAAAATGATGATGATGATTAATTGATTACGGAAACCGTCTTCACAGCGACAATATCATGGCTTTGAAAAGAAATCGAGAGGAAAGGGTGTTTGTTGTCATTGTTGCTGCTGTTGGTTGTTCTCAAAGGATGAAATCGAGAGATAGGCGCAGGGGAGAGAAATTAGGCCGGACATGGCGAGAGGGGAGAGAGATTAGGGTGGGACGTGGGAGATAACACACAGGAGGAGGGGGGACGTGGGCAAAGAATTAATGGTGAAAAATATAAATGAAAAAAAATAAAGAATACAAAACAGATTAAATACGATATTTATAAGGTATAAAATGAAAGTTTTAAAAATAATTCACTACGTATTTATGTTATTCAATAATATGAGATTAAATCGAAAAATATTCAATATTAGGCTCATTCTGAAGGCATTGATGAGACGATTATAATCGTATAATTTGTAAAAAAAGTGAAATGTATTTAGTTAATATACGGTTATGTATGATAATATGATAATATTGTAAAAAAAAGGATATAAAATAAATTAGATAACTAACTATAAGGGTGTAAAATGTAACTTAAAAATTAAAAATAATTTGGATTTTAATATTATCAAAAGAGGTGTTTAGCTTCAAAACTTGTACCTGATGCATAAGAGGATGTACCTCTTAAAATTCAACTTTTAACCGTTTAAACTCCTTATATATACTAGAAGGGTACTCGCGCAATGCAGCGAGACACATCTCGATTTTAATGTTCTATTTTATTATTTGTCTCTATCGATGTTATAATACGATTTTATGTGTTTTTAATAAAACAATAATGATTTTATTTTTGAATAAAATATAAATTT